TAGGATTGTCAACATGGAGAGACATGAAAGCAAAGGGACATAATTTGTGACTCCAAAAAGGAAACAAAGCCAGTATTTCCATATGGGGTGGATACAGCACTACCAGTTGCAGGAACTTTTAAGGCAGATATTAAAGCTGGTGAGATGACACTGAAGAGGTGGAATTCATTGTCATTAAGAGGGATGGTCCTTCTCTTCTTGGTAGAAAGACATCACAGAAACTAGGAGTTTTGAAACTAGGACACAGTGTTAACTCACTACATACAAGTATAGACTTTGTGAAAGCATTTCCAGAGTGTTTTGAAGGTTTTGGCAAATTGAAAGATTACCAGTTGAACATTCCTATAGATGGCTCAGTGCTACCGAAAATACAGAATCTAAGAAGTGTACCCCATCACTTGAGAGAAAGATAGAGCCAGAAATTAGAGGAACTTGAGAAACTGGACATTATAGAGAAAAAGTTGATGAACCAAGCAAATGGGTTTCACCCATAGTGATTGTTCAAAGCCGGGAAAGATATCACGGGTGTGTGGACATGAGAGTGGCTAATCAAGCAGTTATGAGAGTGCTTACATCCTATGCCAACAATAGATGATGTCCTTCATGATCTAAGTAAGAGTACTGTCTTCAGTAAAATTGGATATCAAGTGGGCATATCACCAGATTGAGCTAGCGCCAGAGTCTCGCGTCACATCAGAACTTTCTGTACACACTCAGGGGATTGTACCGTTACAAAGAGACTTATGTTTGGAATTTCATGTGCACGGAGCTCTATCAGAAAATATTACAACAAATTCTACAGAGATGTGAAGAGAAGTCACGCAACATCATGGAGCCGATATCATTGTTCACGCTTCTCAAGTGTTGAAGAACATGATAAAAGGATGGCTCATGTTCTGCAAGTTCTCAGAGACAAAGGGACTTACATTGAATCGGATAAGTGTCAGTTCAGGAAGGAGAACTTACAATTTCTTGGACATGTTTTGTCGAAACAGGATTAAGTCCTGCTGAAAACCCGCGGTTGCAGCTGTTAAAGAAGCAAGAGCACCTACTACAGCCAAGAGTCAGGAGTTTTCTTGGTCTCGTGAATTTCAATGGGAGATTCATTGAAAACATGGCTACTATTCGAACCACTGCGAAACTGACGCAGAAAGAATAATGTTTTTGTATGGGAAGTAGACAGAAAACAGCATTTGATACACTCAAGAAACGGTTGACCAGCACAAGTGTACTTGCATACTTTGACAAGGAGGCACCTACCAGGTAATCACAGATGCTAGTCCGGTCGGGCTAGAGTGCGGTTCTTGTGCAGCGGCAAGATGGTGTTCATCGTGTGATATGCTATGCAAGCAAAAGTTTGACTGATGTAGAAAACGCTACTCACAAACTGAGGAAAGAGGCTTTAGCCTTGGTATGGGCATGTGAACAATTCCATGCTTACCTGTATGGAGCCCATTTTGAAATTCTAACAAATCACAAACCACTGCAGTTCATACATGCTATCCGTTCAAGGCCATGTCCTAGAATTGAAGCGCTGGGTGTTGTTCGCGGATGCAAAGCCTATGATTACAGTGTTAAGTACATTAAAGGAGAGAACAATATTGCTGACTGTCTTTCTAGACTACTGAGGTCAAATCAACAAACTCGCGATGACAAAGGAATTCAAGTGAAGCCGGCGGTATGTTCAATTCATAGCATCTGAATCAGCGCCAGCAGCCATGACAACTAATGATGTTGAAAATGCCTCTGGAATCGGACAGTGAACTGAAAGTAATCAGGGGAGGGCTTATTATCAGGCAGATGGCATATGATGACAAATGTGAAATATGTTCCTGTGAGACATGAACTCTCAGCGATTGGAAAGGTTGTTCTTGAGGGAACTAGATTAGTTATTCCTATGTGCCTCAGGGTCAAGGTGTTGTGTTTGGCTCATGAAGGTCACCCAGGGGTGGTGAAAATGAAACAGAGACTGAGAACCAAAGTATGGTGGCCAGGTATTGATGCACAAGCTGGAAGAGCACACTGCAAGTCATGTCATGGATGTCAAGTTGTATCAAGTCCAAATCCTCACCCACCATTGTTTTGAACAACTTTACCATCACTACCGTTGGCAACATTTGGCAGCTGATCTCCTCGGACCGTTGCCCTCGGGAGATAACATTCTAGTGGTAGTGGACTACTACAGTAGATTTTTAACTCTACATTCTGAAGAAAATTTCAGCGGATGCCATCATTGGCTGTTTGAAAAAGGCTTTTCTTACAATGGTCCACAGGTCATCAGTGATAGTTTTGAGGACTTTATGAAACAAGAAGGAATAATCCACAACACATCCACACCTTATTGGCCCCAGGCAAATGGAGAGGTCGAGAGACAGAACAAGTCACTGCTGAAGATATTGAGGTTTCTCAGGTGGGAGAGAAAAATTGGAAGCAGGAATTGCAACATTTCCTCATGATGTACAGAAGTCGCCGCATTCATCTACTGGAAAGCACCAGCTGAGATGCTTTTGGTAGAAAAATTAGGACAAAATTGCCAGAATTGGTTGCCTTTGGATTTGATGACGATGTCAGAGACTTGACTCTGTACAAAAGATGAAAGGGAAGGATTATGCTGATCTGAAAGCGATGTGCTCAACATACTCCAATACAGACAGGGGATAAAGTGCTTCGTTAGACAACATCGTGAGAACAAGTTAAGCAGTAATTTCCATCCTCAACCTTGTACAGTAGTAAACAGGTATGGGAATGCAGTTGATCTGGAATCTAGTACAGGTGGCATGTATAGACGACATGTTACTCATGTTAAAAAGTATGTGTCAAAACCAGATGGTGATGTGAAGAACACTAACAGTCATGTTTCTAGTCAACATCGTGTGTTGTCTGAGACAGCAGAGGTACTGAGATACAGGTGTTTCTAAAGTAACAGACATTGACAGTACACGGGTGCAGCAAAAGCAGGAAGTAACTTCGGGAGACCTACAAGAATAAGAGAGCCTCGAAAAGATTTGGAGACTTTGTGCTGGGTTATGTAAACTCATAAGTGACAATTCAAAGGGAACAATTCAGACAAATGGAAGTGAAATGTAAACTTGGGAATATATTTAAATTTAATTTATATCCAGAAGGTATGCTTATTTTATGTAGACCTACAGAAATTGTGGAATTTTTTTGTTACAGTATTGCTTTATCATATATTGGGTACAGTAATTTCTGGATAAGACTTGAAGTATAGGTTTAAGAGTAGATTTCCATCCAAGATTGGTTTTATGATTTCTAAACATGTTGAAGCCAAGTGGTATTGAAATAATGGAGGTTGTAAATTTAATTTGGCATTATTAACATCTGAAGATGTTAATCCTTCAGTTTATTATCTAAGTGTTATGATAGTAATCATTCATTTCTTGAAAAAAGGAGGGATGTAGTGTTTGTGCTTATTGTCCAGTATGGTCCGGTTTACGTTATATTCTCCGGCTATTAAAGAGAGCGGAAATGTATCTGCGCATGAGCAGCCTGAATGGGCAGACAAGTAAAGTCTTGGGAGCTGTGAACCGCGTGTTGTTGTTTTGTGTTGAACATAACAGACTTAAATGGGAGCGCACTAAGTGGCAACACCACAGGAGTGAGTGAGTGAGTGAGTTTAGTTTTAAGCCACAATATTCCAGCTATATGGCAGCGTCTATTAATGAGTCGTGTCTGGACCAGACAATCCAGTGATCAACAGCAGGAGCATCAATCTACGCAATTGAGATACAAAGATGTGTCAACCAAGTCCAGTGAGCCTGACCACCCAATACCGTTAGTAAGCCTCTTCACGACAAGCAAAGGGTTACTGAAGATCAATTCTAACCCAGAGATCTTCACGGTCCCATCTCAGAAAAGCAAATTTTATGGATGTCACCTTCTTTATTATGAGGAAACACAAGGTTTCGGAGTATATACTTACTTCTTCAACATCACTTCATATTTAGGACTGAATATCCTGTTGACAGTGACATTTAACCTCATCTAATCAGTGACATTGCACAGAACAACAGCATTGTAAATCTATCTGTTAAAGGTTCTCCTTCATGGAATCCTCTGGCGAGACTCCCACGGTCGAAAAGATGAGCAAGTCCCTTGGCAATGTGATAGACCCGATGGACGTTATACATGGAACCACGTTACAGGTATGTCATCAGTCATGTTGTATGAAGACATCAGGAATGTGCATCCATAGGGATGATGGATGAGAATTGGTCCTAGGAACTTATGCTTCAGTTTGGTTGGTTGCTGCCAGTATAATATCTCACTGGTTCGCTCTAATGCTGAAATATTCACAGGTTGCCATGATAAAATAAATATTGCTGAGTGTGTAGTGAAACAACAAACTAAAGTCTAAGTTTATCTAAGAATAGACATCTAATGCTAATCTAACACCATCAAGCTGACCGTGCAGAGTTGTGCCCATTAGCTGCACCAGGATCTGCTGATTTTATTAAATCACATAATTGTCCTGATTATCACCTTTATGATATGTCAGCACTATACCTGTGCTTGGTGGTTCAACTAAAAGAGACTACCACATGGCTAAGTGGATATGGTGTCTGGACAGAATGAGTTTAGTTTTACGCCACTTTTTAGCAATATTCCAGCAATTTCACCAGAAATGGCTTCCCACATTGTACCCATGTGGGCAGTCGAACCTTGGTCTTCGGGCGTGAGGAGTGGACGCTTTAACCACTAGGCTACCCCAACGCCCCTGTCTGGACAAGAGTGGAAGGCTTGTTCTGTTAATGACCATGCCATATAAAAGATGTATACATGTACTAATATAATATGAAAACTATCCTCAACTATTATAGTCTAGTAAATAGAAAATAATTTAAAATTGTGCAGGATCTACACGAACAGTTGAAGAAAAGTAACCTTGACCCCTCAGAGGTCAAGAGGGCATCTGAAGGTCAGCAGAAGGATTTCCCTCAGGGCATCCCCCAGTGTGGGGCCGATGCTCTCCGTTCACATTGTGCTCATATGACTTCAAATGTAAGTACATTCCACATTTCCACACTCAGGGAAAGAATGCTATTTGTGTTCACCAGTGTTGTAAGAACTGCTTGATATTCTACCAAATGATATTAACTATACACTTCTTATGGGATGAAGAGAATTGGTTTACCCCAGGACCACTGACTTTATCACATGAAGAGTTAGATTCTAAGGGTATAGGGTATCCTATCTGAAAAGACCGCCTCTGTGGTGTAGTGGTTAGAGCATCCGCCCAGAGAGCGGAAGGTCGCTGGGTTTGATCCCCTCGACCGCGTCATACCAAAAAAGCGTTAAAAATATGGTACTTGTTGGTCCCCCTGCCTGGCTCCAGCATTAATGGGTAGAATAGGGACTGATCAGCTCGGAGTCAGTATAATGTGTCTGAGTGGGGTAGTCATGCTTCACTGCGGCATGGTTATTCAGTGGGCTAGCACTATAAAACCAGCTTCAGTCTGGGCTAGTACAAGCAGCCACACATACACATACACATGCATGCATGTCGTCATATGAGCAAATGTTCTAAACACAACGTTAAACCCCATTTCACCTCACTTCACCTCACCTCACCTCACCTCACCTATCTGAAAAACTCACACAAAAAGCATTATGGTGATAAATTTTATAACAAATTTTGGTGATAAATTTAAAATTGAAGAAGATGAATTAAAAAAGAAATGCAACAGTCCTAGTATAACAGACTTTGTCTGCACTGTTTTCAACAACTAGCCTCTACTACTTCTTTTAGCTATTCAGGGAGGTGGGGTAGCAGAGTGGTTAAAGCATTCGCCAATCCAGCCAAAGACCGGGTTCGATTCCCCACATGGGTACAGTGTGTGAAGCCCATTTCTGGTGTTCTGCTGTGATATTGCTGGAATATTATTGCTAAAAGTGGCGTAAAACCATACTCCACTCACTCTTTTAGCCATTCACCAGAGGGCTAGCAGAATATCAACCCTTTACTTCATTAATTGGATGGTGTGGTCAGGGCTCTTTGAATTGGTTGGTTGTGTGTCCCGATATTCATGTTGTCAACGTCTGGTTTGCCTGGTCCAAACTCAAAGATATTTTCATATACAATCAGTTTTGACTGACTGATTGAATGGTCAGGTGAGGTTATTTTGTTGATTGTGATTTAGTTTCGATAGTATCCCATGGATCAGTGCTCAGACATTCAGTCACTGGATTGTCCTGTCAGATTCCGCTACATGCAGCCCACCATCCACAGATTGAATGTTGCTGAGTGTGCAGACACACACTTCACCAACTGGGATAAAATAAACATGCAGAACCCTTGAAGACCCGGTTAGAATTGATCTTCAGTAACCCATGCTTGTCGAGGCAACTAATGGGATCAGGTGGTCAGGCTCACTGACTTGGCTGACACATGTCATCGTATCCCAATTCGCGTAGATCTATGCTTATGATGTTGATCACTGGATTGTCTGGTCCAAATTTGATTATTTACAGACTGTTGCCATATAGCTGGGATATTATTGGTGAGGCATAAAACTTAACTCACTCCACTCACTCCAAATGGAGAATGCTAGCCATGCTGTATAATAAAAGCAAATCTGTGTGTTGTGCTTTAGCATAAGAAAACTGATACTGGCATAGATATTGTTGTTTGGCCAGTTACTGCTGTTTTGTACTTCTTTATTCAGAAAAGTTTGAAAATGCCAAGTCCATATATTGATTTACAGAATATAATATTGCTGTTTATTGCAGTCTAAATCTTTAATCCCATCTCCTGTGCACTGTAAATCATATTGTCATTCACCTGATGAAGGGGCAAGAAGTAGCCCAGAAATGTTGTGTTGTAAATAATAAAGAAGTTGTAAATCTGTATGTTGTTGTGTTACCGTGTTGTTGTTAACTAAATGCTGTTCAAGCATCCAAGCATAAAACAACATTCATTTATTCCTATATTTTCCTGTACTGTACAGCTGGTGAAATCAACATGGACATCACTCATGCCCGAAACTACCGACATTTCTGTAACAAAGTATGGCAGGCGTTCCGTTTTGTGCAGACCAACTTGGATGAGGGCTTTCATCCAGGGGCTGGCTTGGAGGTACCGTGTATATCATATTTCTTAGTGTTGCAAGGTTGGGATGAGTTACATGATATTTTCCCCGTCTGAATGTTTTAGTACAAGTATGCACCCATGAAGATCCGGGTTAGAACTGATCTTCAGTAACCCTTGCTTGTCGTAAGAGGCGACTAACGGGATCGGGTGGTCAGGCCCGCTGACTTGGTTGACACATGTCATCGGTTCCCAATTGCGTAGATCGATGCTCATGCTGTTGATCCCTGGATTGTCTGGTCCAGATTCAATTATTTACAGACCGCCGCCATATAGCTGGAATATTACTGAGTGTGGCATAAAACTAAATTCACTCACTCACTAGTACCAGTATGCACAAATAGAACAAATAAAAATTGTCTAATTGTCTTGCCATCATATATGGTGTAACAGCAACATTAAAACTCAACTCACTCATTCATAGATGAAGTAACTGGCATCCTTCAAGGGCCCTGTTAAGGGCCCTGCTCTATATCAAATTTTTAGACAGTTCAGGTTGAAGTATTTGGTATCAGGTGATCCCTGAAAACAAATTAACTTATTGTGTATGGCATTTATTAGCCCTTGTTTGTGGAATTTAAAGGTGTTTGTAGCTTTTATTACAGGTAATATGGTGATATAGCTAAATATCACTCACTCACTCATGTATTGGTGTTTCAGTTCAAGGGAACCTATTCTGCTACTGACCTGTGGATACTCAGTCGACTAAGTCACATGATCAAGTCATGTGATGTAAACTTTGCCACTTATGACCTGCATCATGTGACCAGGGCACTTCACCAGTTCTGGTTGAATGAATTTAGCGATGTATATTTGGTAAGTATAAACTGATAATTCTGTCCCTGCATGAAGACAGTTCTGAAGTTCTATGCACAGTTCTGATTCCAGTCATTATTTCATCAACATTTACTTGTAGTCAGTGATGTAGTTTGATCCAGCCTGTTAGCTTGAGATGAAGCATCACAATGCTTTGCAGACCATTGTGACATCATCAGCGATGTATCTGCATGACTAAGGGCTTTCCTCCCTTTTTTAAGCAGACCTGCCGTCATATTACCAAACTACTGTTTAAAACAGAATACAGCCCATCTAACTAGTCTTGCAGCTTAACATGTATATTTTCACCCTTAAATGTCTTTGCCAGGAGTGTGTGAAGCCAGTGTTCCGGTCTGGGGCCCAGTCTGAGCAGGACAATGTTAGACAAGTGCTGTACCACTGTGTAGAGACATATCTTCGTGCAATCAGTCCTTTCATGCCTTTCCTGTCTGAAGAGTTGTTCCAGCGTCTGCCGGCAAGGGGAGACAACTGGCCTGTCAGTGTTTGTGTGGCGCAGTATCCCCAACCCGAAGATGTAAGCATGAATACTAATATAAGCATAACACATCCTCTTGTTGCATGGCAACTCCCTATACATTCCAGTATAGATTCCTTTCGGGATATTAAGCAAGACTGTGTGACAACAGTGTAAGAACCTATACCTTAATGTCACATCATAATATAATATAGAAGTTGTCATCCATAAAGTATCGTACTTTCTTCTTACTCATCGACTTCTAAAATGCCAACAAATTATGTGATCATACTTGTACACTTGAAATATAGTCTGTAGTTCTGTTGAATTTGAGATACAATACTTCCCACCTTTTGGACAGGCTTCATTACCTGTTGAGAGCATGGGGCAATGTAAGGTTGCTGAGAAAAATCAATGTATTTTGTCAAATTTAAAATTCTATTTATTGCCTTAACCCACCCTTTTCTTGTTGGAATGTAATGAAATTTGGTAAGACATTAGTTTGTTGTAAAAATCAAAGACTCAAGACAAATATATTCCAGAAATTATATGTTGTGACCTTATTTTTACCTCTGTGTTTTGACTGGGATCTTGTTTTGACCATGCTGTTAATTCTCTCAATAATACTTTCTCGATATCATACCGCAGGGGTCAATTTAAGGAAATGAAGCCTACTTGCACCCAGTGCAACCTGAAGCAGTCACATTGTAGCACCAAACAAAAAACAGGTTGCACTTGCTGCTTAATATAAAATCTGATATAATGCTTGAGTTTTGGTAAATACGGTTTAGAACCGTGTTACGACAAAGAAATCTGTTGTTATCTTACTTCCTAAACTTTCATGAACAGTAAGTCCTTCAGTCACTGTTCCTACAATAATCAGAGTCACTGTTCCAAGTCAGTTCCTCATCATTATGTTTTCCAGCTGAAGTCTGTGTTCTTTGAACACAAAATATTAACATGCACTGGGTCAAGTTGATATACATACGAGGCTGCACTTAGCAGTTTCAGGTTGCACCAGTGCAAGTTCTAAATGCTTTTATTAGTCCTGTACTGTCATCTTACGCAAAACAGAGCACTGTTGTGAATTTTGTAGGATGCTACTCAAGTCTGTGTGGATTCTTGAAATGGACTTCACACATTGTGCCCATGTGGGGATTCAAACCGGGTCTTCGGCGCGTGACGAAGCGAACGCTTTAACCACTAGGCTACCCCATTGCCCCTGTCTGGTTGTAAGATGTTACTTAATGGATTAGGTGGTCCAGCTCAGTGGTTTGGTTTGTTGTGTGTCATCAAACCTTTATTATGTGGGGGTGGTGGGGGAGCCTAGTGGTTAAGGCGTTCGCTCGTCTCGCCAAAGACCTGGGTTTGATTCCCCACACAGGCACAAGCCTGTGAAGCCCATTTCTGGTGTGCCCCGCCATGATGATGATGGAATATTGCTAAAAGCGGCATAAACTTAAACTCACTCACTCACTTTATGATGTGGATCAGTGTTCATAATATCAATCACTGGATTATGTAATCCAGACATTACTATGATCAGCCCCAATTGTACAATGGAATATTGCTTGTGTTAACAACAACACAAAAGGTCTGAGAACATATTTTGACAACTGTTTGATATTTCAGTACCAATGGAGCAGTGCTGATCTGGACAGCACCATGGCCACCATGAGGGACATCGCCTACCACTCTCTGTCTGTCAGGAAAGAGCTGAATCTGACCAAGACCAGAGCTCCAAGTAGGTTCTCAATAGTCTTCACCATGTCTGTTATTTCATAATCCTAAAAGAAATAATTGTCAAGGGAGATAACCCTTGAAATTGATTTGCATTTTACCCTCACCAAATCACTTGTGGACGAATGTAACATTTCCAATGTCTTCGCTTCACGATCGGGATTAAGATTTTTTTATTCAATTACAATAACAATGGACAGTAATCTGTGATTGGTTGAACTTGTCATGGTACACAGTGAGAAAAATAATATGGTATACGGCTGTAATTACTTCCATTCATATCTGCCTGTCTGTGTTTCTCTTTGTAATCAAGGGCGAGTATGTGTTGCTTTGAACAGTATTTCAGTTCTATCATGAAATCTCAGGTTAATGTGGGAGGAGTGAGTATATGTCGCTTTTAGCAATATTCCAGCAATAATACGGCAGGGGACACCAGAAATGGGCTTCACACATTGTAGCCATGTGGGGAATCAAACCCAGGACTTCGGCGTGACGAACGAACACTTGAACCACTAGGCTACCCCACCGCCCCTAATGTGGGACGAAGGCTAGAGTGATTGAGATACAGATATCAAATGGGAATTCTGAATGCTGTACCCAGAATTTAGAATCCTTGACACTGATGGCAAATTAGAAATGAACACTCATGAATAATTAGAAATCTTCTGCATGTCCATCTTTACTGCTAATGGCTTCATGGTTTGCTGCAGACGTCCTGGTGTGTACAGACGCCACCGAGAGACACCAGTTGTCTGACTTCAGACTCAGCCTTCAGACGCTGTCCAGAGCTAGTGACTTCAGTCTGGTGTCTGACAGACAGGGAGTGCCAGATGGATGTCTGCAAATACAGGTGTCAGACACATGCTGTCTGGCTGTAGTGTTGAAGGTGACTTACAAAAAGGAAACTGATCTGAAGCTGATCTCCTCAAGAACTGTTACGCAAAATGATTTTTAGACTGATGTTAACTCTAGCCTCAGATAATGGACCTTGATCCCAGATCCTGATCCCAAAGTTTGACCCCCAATCCAGCTCAAAGATATCTAAGAGCTCTAACTGTTACAAATCTATTCTAATGTGCATTTGATTCCAAGTCAATCTGAAACCCCAATCACCTTTCTTGTCTCATAATGGTGAATATGGCTCCCCAGTAGCCCATCCTGTTTCTCAGCAGGGATGTTGGGTCCAAATATGCCCTCACTACCTTATGCCTGACTCCCAGTGGGAATTTCTTTTCAGTAGTATAAATACAATTGATCAGCTATGAATTAATTCTCTTGTTTACGTGTTTGTAGTTTTGTCTCTGTTAGTATTTTCATCCATCAAAGGCAGATCTCACACCTCTTATAATTTGGAGGAATTTTGGAATTGTCCCAGACGCAAATCGATGAACCAAGACATGTGAAAACTGATGCATGTGTTCTGTTTGTCCAGGACGTCATCAATCCACAAGAGCACCTGCCCAAGCTGAAAAACAGACAGCGTAAACTTGAGAGTGATTTGGAGCGAGTAAACCTGGGGATGAGTCAGACAGATGACAAGCTGGTGACACACAAACTGGTGGAGAAGGTGAGGACAGGGGATAGTTGATCAGATTCTACAGGATTCAATCACTTCCAGTTTACAAAAAGATCGCAATTCCACAGAATTTTGGGGGTTATCAGTTCAACAATACAGCTGTTTTATCTTTTAAAAGGCATGCTGTAATAAACAGATGTATTATTGTTTATTTTCAGAGTCAGAAGTTGAAAGCTGAGATTGAAAAGATCAAGATCTATATTTTGGCTGTGGAAAATCTACGATGATAAGCAAAGCAAGATCTTGAACATTCTTACATCACATCCTGAAAATTATTTTGGATGGAAAAGGCACATTATCATGAGCATCACATGCTCCATCCAAATTATCGTCCTCGATGATGTGGGTATTATATCTCTATTCAGTCATGATATATATCACCAGCCTCTTTCAGCCACAGATCATGTTTTTAGCCCTGGTGACATGACACCGTGATAAATTAGCAGTGTCTTCCTTTGTTTGAGGTGACGCTTTGTTTGTGTTTGTGTCAGGACTGGGCCGATTTATATTTACCGGTACTACGTCGTATCCCAATTGCGTAGATCGATGCTCATGCTCTTGATCACTGGATTGTCTGGTCCAGACTTATTTACAGACCGCCGCCATATAGCTGAAATATTGCAGTGTGCGGTGTTAAACAACAACCAGCCATCCATTATAATTACTAATTAACCATCAAGGGAAAGCAGTTTTGTTGTTGATGATGTTATCTATAGGAATGTAATGGATCTGTCAGTTTTTTAAAGATAAAATAGTAGGCCAGTTTTATTATCTAAATAATGCACACTGTTGCATCGAAGGTGAAAGGACATTCATGAATACTCCAAGTTATCCACGGTTCGACACAACCAAAAAGTGCTGAATAAGGAGAGAATATGAAGAGAAAATTATTCTACTTTGCCACAGAAGCATTGTAAAATGGATCGCCATAGAACAAAAGACACCAATAAATATTTCGTGTTTCTTGTTGAAACTTTCCAAAGTTTGCAATATAATGTCATGAATTCATGGAAAGATATGTGGGTAAACTGTGTGAGATTCAATGTCACGTGATTGGGTAGCAAAGCAATTATCAACAAGGTGACAAAAACCAGCACCACTTGTGGCTAGCTGTTTCAACATCAGCTGATAACAGACTGGGCGGAACCTGTTGCGGTATTGCACTGATGTTAGTTATTTCATATTGTTGTCTACTTTTTGTGTGTATAGATTAAATAAACTGTTAGTAAACTATTGTACTATTTTATTTATTTATATTGGTATTTATACAGCGCTACAGTCCATCCCACATGCATGCTCAAAGCACTCCATCATTGGATGTCAATCTCAGCGGCACATTATTATCAATCTCAACTCCCTGGGGAGCATACAACTCTTGCAGCCACTAGGCCACTGTTTCTGATTACTTACTCATATTTATGTACAAACGATCCCTGAATCAAGGGAAGAGTCCTCGAAAAATCCAGTGTACCCTTGTCAGCGAAGCCGCCATTTTGTAAGGAATCAGTCATCGGTTGTGATGTCACACGTCAACATTGTTGTACGTATTAGACAATTTCTTTGAGGTGAAGGTCGGTTGAAAAAGTGTAAACACAATCGCCCTATCCTTCTCATTACACTTTTAGTACTATGATGTATATTTTGCGTATCGTTCAGATTTTTTTTTTATGAAACCAATTTCAGTACCTACAGTAGCTGGCCATAAGTGAGTCATCATTAGTGAAATTTCCATAGACTTACATGTTAATTAACTGTTGCAAGAATAATTTTCATAAATTTGGTAGAATTCATTTTGTTTTGATATTTTGCAAACATCTTGCAAATCATCTTCAGCTACGTGTACATAATTTCCTTTCATCTTTCCGTTGATGAATTATCGAATGACACCTGATCAAGCACCATAGGTACATAAAACTTTTACTCTATCCCAGACAGCCATGTTAAACCTGACTGGTATGTCTAATATATGTTGTTTAAATAGTTGCAGTTTTATTAATAATCATCGGAAAATTGAATGGAAATTTGTTGTATGTTGCTGAGAAAACTTCCCAGCAGGTAAATAAGTATTGAGAGCAATTCGACAGAAACTAAATTTATGAAAATTATTCTTGCAAGAGTTAATTAACATGCAAGTCTATGGGAATTTCACTATTGATGACTCACTTATGGCCAGCTACTGTACATTTAGCCTTGTTCAATATCATATCATACAGGGTATAGGGTATACGTTTTTATTCTTTGAAAGCTTTTGATTGTTTGAATAAAAGTTACAATAGAAATTGACACATTTAGAGTATCACACCATATTTTAAACCTTTACACAAGTGTTAGTAGATCAAGCGTAGGGTATCCTCCCATTTGTGAGAACTCCCAGTTGTGAGACACATTAATTAATGGTTCAGTGCACATAGGTGGTGTCTCCACATCCCTACAATGAAAGTGGGATCAGCCCAGCCCAGCACCCACAGGAGGCATAGTTCATTGATGAGTTGATTAATGAAATAGATTATCAAAGATTATATTTACACAGAAGAAATAGTTCATTGAATATTTTATTTATTCAGGAGAATATGTAATTATGATAACACATTTTTATTGACTGTTATGATGTTTGAAATTCATTTTGGTTTAAACATTTTATTATTATTTATGAAAATGAATTGGGATTGGTGAAGTATTACTGCTTATGTTAACACCGCTCCCATGCAACATAAAATATAAAATGAAATGGAGGATGTGACGTCATCGATATTAACTATTGCATAAATATATTTTTAAGTACATATAAATATATACAGATTACATCAAATACAACTATTCTCCATGTAGTCATAATTAGAGACTTACAGTTGTGTTTGTCTAACAAGCTATTGTAGGAATATAAATCAATCACGAGAAGGTTGTTGAGTTAATTTCAGTATTTCCCTGTGAAAATTGGTAGGTTGTGATGATATAATCGTGGACGGATTCAACTATTTTCTGGTTTACACAAGGAGTAAATTCTTTGTTTCCGTTCAAAAAATTATCCAGGTTATAACGGGTAGTTGACATCCACAAGAGCAACATGCACTGTTTATTTAATGTCTGTTATACTATCGGCGTTTTGGTCGCTAGATCCGAGCCTGAGGCGGCAATGAACGATTTGAGAAGAACAAGAGCCATAATTAAGATCAATATAAATCTTGGTTTTGGTTTTTGTAATTAGGTTTTAAAATTCTTTGAGACTACATGACTCTTTGGAATTTGGTTGGGCATTCCATAAATTTATTGTGCTGGGTAGAAAGGGTTTGGCATAAAGGGCATTTCGACTGTAAATTTCAGAGTTATTTCTTAAACTATAGCTTGTAGTTTCGGAGACAGAGTAAATCTGAGTAGGTAAATTAATTTCTCTTTGATCACGAAGTTACCTACACAAAGTGTTTAATTATTAAAGACATTTACCTGAGTATGTTAATCAATTTATCTTATAAAGTTTCATTAAGTTACCTCCACAAGATACATAGAGAATACTACACGAGGTCTCATTACATACGAATTATACGAAACGAGTGTCCTTCCTATGGTATCTGACCGAGTTTCGTATAATTCGTATGTAATGAGACCGAGTGTGGTATTATATTTATTACCCACGAACCCCTGGATGCCACAGGGACATATATGTCCTTCCCCTTCAACCCTCAATTTGAAGTCGAATAAAAACATCAAAATATCCCACGCCACACAAATACACTTCACAGTTTCGAATTCTAAAAATCAAATTTCCTGTTTCTTGATACCATCCACTATTTATTTTAGACAAAGCTCAAGTGCTGAAAATGACCTTTCAAAATAGGCTTCATCGAAAATGGCGACATTTTTGACACAGTATGAAATCGCGATTCACAGCGTTATTTGCTGTATGTTTTGAAATGTGAAAATCGGATAATTCCTGGGAGTACTGAATTTCAAAACTAACCTATTCATGATCACTGATATCAGTTTTACATGAAATCGCTAATTATAATTCTGAAACGTTGCCGATGAATCTAGAATCGGTTGGGATGTTTTCGAAAATGCACTTACACGAACGCCGTAGAGCGCTTTCCGCCATATTGGATAGTGTTTACAAAATCACGTTTCGCGAAGGCCGGTATTGAGACGCCTATTACATCACGTATATTTCATATTCAGCTTCGAAAAATGCATCACTGAATTCCCCATACATTTTAGAATCAAATTGCAACTGGTCTGTGTCACCAATACCAACTGTCTAGATAAAATGAGACGAAACATATTGGGTGTGAAAACGAACGCTGTGCTCGAAAGACTGCGCTGGTTCGAAACGTAAACAAAGACAAATTCCGATTTTACACTGCGTAGCATTTTCTGAAATTTTCCAACATTCATCCGTCTATTCATAGCTTGCAATAGCTCAATACCTTTGAATATGCATGGAAAGAGTATCGTAGTAAGAAATAGGAAATTATAAATAGATACAATGCAATGATTTGATAATTCATAAGAAATTGTCAAAGTTTCCGTGCAGCGTGACGCCATGACTGGCGCAAAATCACGCAGAACGACAACTGTAATATATCAGCATTTCTGGCTTCTTCTCTTACTTACAGTGAAAACGATAGAAACATATAACAATACACAGTTAGTCAGAATCATTCTGATTACTTACATCTCATATTTATGTACAAACGATCCCTGAATCAATGGAAGAGTCCTCGCAAAATCCTATCTATCCTTGTCAGCAAAGCCGCCATTTTGTAAGAAATAGGTCATCGGTAGTGATGTCATACGTCAACATTGTTGTACATATTAGGCAATTTCTTTGAGGTGAAGGTCGGTTGAACAAGAGTAAACACAATCGCCCAATCCTTCCGATTACACTGTCAGTATTATAATGTATATTTTGCGGATAGTTCAGATACTTTTTCATGAAACTGACCTCAGTATCTACATTTAGCCTTGTCAAATATCATATCATACTTGCATATAGGGTTTACGGTGTTTTATTCTTTGAAAGGTTTTGATTGTTTGAATAATATTTACATAAGAAATTGACACATTTAGTGCAGTACACCATATTCTAAACCTTTACACAAGTGTTAGAAGATCAAACGTAGCCATAACTGCAATATTACTTTAGTTCCTATGATGTACAATATTCAATGCATTTGAACTAATATCGCAGTTTCACATGAACAGGTTAATGAATGGCGATTTGATTAAACTTTACAAGTAAAACTGATAATATTTAATGAAAATGATTTATGTATGTTATGAAATGTATATGCACACACATTTAAAGGAAATGTCTTGTTCATTGCACATTTTTTGTGTCGTTTTATAGAGAAAACAATTATGTAAATTGATTGGCCAGGTGCGCGTTTGTCGGAAACGTTTTATGATTCACTATCATTGTTTTCGATAATATAATCAATTCATATTCGATTTAAAAATATTGTGATGACAGGATATCAAACTCTAACTATATTTATACGAAAATTGTTTAAAAATGTATAAAGCATGTCATGTCTTAATTTGGACAAATCTTACATCCATATTCTAATATATAGTACGTACTAGTTCCATATATAAAAAGCTATCTTTTTTTTGCATCTTCCATTGCATACGTATGAAGAGAAATAGCTGCATAATCATAAATAAAGTAAATTCCTATCCTAAACAAAATATTCAGGTGTTGTGAAATGTTATTTTTCATTTACGTTAAATTGATGCCAAACAGGTTCGCGTGTTGCTCATGATAAGATACACATTCAAACTGTCTAATTGTTGATATATTCAGGACACTATTGAAATGGAAAAAAACAGTCATTTTATGTTTTGTCTAAAGAGTGTTAATTCTGAAAAAGAAGCCGAGACCTTTCACACAATTAATGGAAATTAAGTGTGATATATACTCATCAGAATACCAATGTCGTCACTTTCCGACGTCGCAAAATGCATAAAACAAGCAATGACGTCAACTAAAATGTTGTATTATTTTCAGCAATTTCAATACATTTGAAAATATGGCTAGTATTCTGGTAATAACGATGCAAAATTAGTCAAAAGACATCTACACAAACAGGAGAATATGGGAATCTAAGAACTAACTTATATATTGGATAGGGCCATCCAAATCGCTATTACGTGCTTTCAAATGTAGTACGTTGTCATCTTTTCTTATAAATTGTGAAACTACTAAAGCGTATCCGCTCACATTGGGGAACTTTGAATTG